CTTCAGCTACGTTATTCACGTAGCTGAAGTTGCGTACCTTAGTTCGAAGTAGGGGGTTAGTGTAGACCTGGCCTTAGTCAAACTGCAATGTTTGACACAGGTTGCTATTTTTCAGGTTAAAGGCAGCCCAGACTCCAAATTTTTCCACATTTTTTTAACTCAGACTGACTTAAAAATTTGCTTTATGTGTGCCAAGTGCTTGGTGTCCCTCCCTCAGGATCAAGCTGCTGATCCTAATCCTGGGTACGTTGGCTGACTGGCACGCATAGCTTGAAGTTGAAAATGAAATCTGGCATTTCAGCTCCGTTTCCTTCAGAAGGGTAGTTGCTTCTTTAGACTATGTTTTGTGGAGGATGTGTATGCATCTGCCATGGCAGGCTTTCCTTAAGTGCAGGATGGGACCCAAGCAGTGGAACAGAGCCACAGGAGGAATTCAGAAAAGTACAGTCCAGATGGGCGTATCCTCTGGTCCTGCTCTTTTGTGGAGTGCTTGGTGGTTCTAGGCAACAGGAGACTTGTCAGTCACATATTGGGCCAAACCAAAACCGTGGCTCTGAACGCACTGAACTTTTGGAAAGGCCACATCTGGAAGGGAGCTTTGCAGCGAGGGCTTGCTCATGTCTCATAAAAACTGAGATGTGAGCTAGATCGCTGCCCATTTCTGTAACCAAGACAGGCTATTCAAGGGGGGCCTGACACTCAAAAGACCATGTGCAAGTTGAGCCTGCTGGTGGCTGCTACTGTATGTGCTTGCGGCCCTTGGGTCCTTTTTTTGTTTTTTAAAGGATGCAGTAAAATAAACCATCTTGTGTCTTGGTTGCCTGAGTCTGTCTGAATTATTATTTATTACCTGTCTGGCACTGAATTATAAACACTTTTTTTTCATCCCAATACCCGTTTCCTGCCATTTTATTGCTCCTAAGATGCTCTTTTGTTTTATTCATCTCTTATAATCGACTGAAATACCCTGTTCTTAACAAGCGCGCGAAGACAGGCAGGTGATGGATGTACCCAATGTGCCTGTGACACCGTTTCAAAGCATCTGAAAAAGATTTTAACTTAAATTTTAAAAGATCACTACATAGACTGAACTGTTCCACCCCACACAAGCAGCCAAACATTATGTTAAACCTCCTGCTTTAAAAGTTCGGATGCCAGCTTCTCCTTGGAAGGTCAGATATGTTCTGATCTTGGGGTCAGGGTGCTGTTCAGGGCCTATCTCTATTAAATATTATTGCTTTGTTCCATAACATTAATTAAAAGCCTCTTAAGCTTATCCACACCCCATTCTGGAATGTTCTCCTAGTGGATTAGCCTGCCAGATAAATTCTTTTGGTAGAGTGCACACACGCGTGTGTGTCGGGGGTTGTCTTGACAGAAGTATTCCCCGCAGGGTCTGTCATGTCAGGGAAATTTTCCCTGGGGTTGCGCTGACAGGAATAATAATAATAATTTAAAAGCAATAAAATGCCATGAAACAGAATTAAAAATGAAAAAAATACATTTAAAATTCAGTGCCAGACGGGTAATTATTCTGGGCAAGTCAGTGAGAGGTGAGATAGGGGAGGTAATAAAACAAACCTTAATAATAAAAATAATAATAAAAAAGACTTAAGCCCCTATGTAAATACCCCAGCAACCTTCCACCCCCATCCTGCTAACACTTACACAAGTGTGTTAAGTGTTAATATTCCCATTGCATAAACTCAGGAATGTGTGTAGGTGTTTGCAGGATTGGGCCTAAACTTGCTTATAAGAGAGTGCTTCTTGGCATGGCACAATTTGGTTTAGGCACAAGACAGGAGTGAGGAGGAGCCTGGGTTCTAATCCTGGTTCTGATGCTCATGTACTCTGTGATTTGGGCATATCATTTAGTATCGCCAAGCCTTATTTAATGTCAATAAAGTGCGGTGTAAGTGCCAAGTATTATTAGGGACCCTCAGTGAGAGCGGTGGGACAGGAACTCAGTGCTCCCAGGCTTCCTGCCCTCTGCTTAATTCACTAGATCATGTGGCTTTTGTGGGATCATTATCACTAAAGCAAATTTTAGGATTTAATGTATTATCTGTATTAAGCTAGGCAGGCATCTTGCTGTATAATGAGCTAGTGGACTGTGCTTTCACTCTACTGAACAGCTCTGGCCCTCTGTTAACAAAAACGTGAATTTGGAAGCTAACGTTTAGCGTGGGTGGAATCCTTTGACAAGGTTGGAGAACTCAGTCACGCTTTTCTTGGAGTTATTACAGTAAGTTTACCAAATTTTTTGCCCTGGTGCACATAGTTTTTCTGTGGTATCAATCTTGAAATTGGGATGCCTTTATTTTCCGTGTACTGCACCTTCGCGTTTCTAAAGATTGCTTCTCTTCAGGGACAGCAGCCAGATTGTCATCAGTCACAGCAGCTGTTACAGGAGTCATACAGTGTGCATTCTCATGGAGACTTTACATGGAGTTCTTGTTGTTTTCATTAATCTAAAATCATTCAGATTAAAAGTACGTGTTTCGTTCTTTGAGTATGGAAACATTAACAATTTTTACTTCCTCTGTTTTGTTTGAGGGAGTTAAAATCTTGTCTGGTGGTAGAACAGCTTATTCTAACTTTCTAAATATACACAATAAATAATGCAAACCAATATTCACCTGATTTTGAAATGAGAAATGGAAGTACACCTTATAGAAGCATGTTGTTTCTTTTGTATAACTACAGTATCTTACTTCTGTAAAAACAACGAGGAGTCCTTGTGGCACCTTAGAGACTAACAAATTTATTTGGGCGTAAGCTTTCATGGGCTAAAACCCACTTCATCATGGGAGTTGCCTTACCAAGTGTGGGGTCAGTGCTAACGAGGCCAATTCAATTAAGGTGGAAGTGGCTTATTCTCAACAGTTGACAAGAAGGGGTGAGTATCAGTAGAGGGAAAATTACTTTTGTAGTTGTAACGAGGCCAATGCAGTCAAGGTGGACATCTGCTTTACCGTGTTATATCCGAATTCGTGTTATATCGGGGTAGAGGTGTACACACACACACACACACACACACACTGCTTACTGTATTTTTCACTCCATGCATCTGATGAAGTGGGTTTTAGCCCACAAAAGCTTATGCCCAAATAAATTTGTTAGTCTCTAAAGTGCCACAACGACTCCTTGTTGTTTTTGCTGATACAGATTAACACGGCTACCACTCTGAAACCTGTTACTTCTGTAAGCAAGTGTAAGATCCTGAAATTGCCCACCCTGTGAATGAGTCATTAAACAATTTTTTCTCTGCTTTTCCATTAGATGTTCTTTTATGAAAAAATATATATAATGTAACCAGATACAAAAATCTAGGTTAAAAGAAAATTATTCAGGTTAGAAAGTCAATCACTCAAAAGTTTTAAGGTCCCCTGTACAGCTTTTTTTCTGCCTCCTTGTAAACACAATAAAGGAATTTTTCCTCTGTTTTTTGCGAGAATTATATCGGAACAGTTTCACTAAGCAGATGTGACAAGAGGCCTGTATGCTTTCTGTAGAAGGAAAGGCATTTGGGGTTTATGTGCTGGGGAAACTATTTTTTAAAATCATTTATTCTAGTGACAATGTTATCCCGTAATGCTGCTAAGGTTGGTGTTATCTTGGATAATCTGCCCCTGGGACTACTAGAAAGATTTACAGGTCTGACTGCCAGAGGGAGTTTTGCAGTCACGATTCAGTGTTCTATGCTCTCTCCTCTCCTCACCTTTCTTCTCTCCATTTCTATGTTTAGTACTGCTACAGCCACCACCCCTCGTCTGCCGTGTCCTGGAAGTACTCCGAAAGTTGCTCTCTTAGCCCTCTGTGTTGATCAGTCATATTTTCTTTTAAATTGCACAGAAGCTGTGTATTGTAGGACTTCTTTTCTGACTTGAAGTTTGATCTAATGCTGTTAACTTATGCTATGGGTGTGTAAAACAAGTTCTGCCATTAACTTCAGTGGAGGGAGGATTTAATCCCTGGACTTCATTGGAGGGAAAAGAGAATGGATGCTGTTAATAATAATGGGAAGAAAAGTACGTTTTTACAGACCTCTTTGTTAGAGTCCAATTTAAGTTCTCCAATGTGGTGTTACCGAGGGCTGAGGAAGTCTCCTAATTAGTCTCTTTTGTCAGCTGCAGAGCAATCATGTAAGAGGATAAGAAGATCTGATGTCTCTGAGTGGCTACATCTCTGATGTGTCACTGACATTGGAGAGATACATTATTGTCCTACAACAAAAGCTTCACTTTTTCATTTTCAGCTGTGTCATATCTCAGCCGTGGAGATGTTACATATAAAAATCTGTTTGACATGGTGGCAAAGGTCCCTAGGGCAATAGCTTTGAGGGTGTCCCCTGTAGCAAATCAAAATTCTTCTAAAAGAGTCTGTTCAACTTGATACCAGTTCCAGAGTAACAATCAAGGGATTTTTCTTTCTTGTTTTAAGATAAATTAATGTCTCTGGAGATTAAATTATTACGTTTAATCAGTGCAGAAAATAATTGCATCTCTCTGTTTTTATTTCAGGGGTCCTCAATGCACTCACTTACCATTATTTAAGGAGACTCTACTAGAAATATCTGGATTGCATTTCTGAACTGACAAAAAGGCTTGGACTTCAAGATGCTTATAAAGGAATATCGTATTCCAATTCCAATGAGTGTGGAAGAGTATCGGATTGCCCAGCTGTACATGATACAGGTTAGTAATGGTTCAAACAGACATAGTGATGGGCCCACACTGATTTACACAAATGGTATTTTGGTCTTCACTTCCTGTGCAAAAAGTGATGTCTTGATGAAGAACATAGTAATCTGGCGTTTCCGGCAGACTTTTCAGCTAACTTTTTTTAATGCAGTTTTGCTTTTAAAATTTATTTGACCATCTTCTTTCAAGTTAAAGGTTGGATCCTGCTGTCCTTAAACTGGCAAAACTTCCTCTCCTGAAAGAGAATTGGAAGTAAACAGATCTAGTACAAACTTGGGAAGTATCACACCTTGGGTAGGTTATTCCTATGTAGGGAAGCACTGGACCTTAATTTTTATGTGGAAATATTAGTTCATTATAACTTTCAAAAGGTAAACTAAAAATAGCTTAGCACATGACTTACATACTATTTCTTTAATAATTATATGTAAGCACACAGATCCTGTCATCTTAGTTTAGGCACAAAATTTAGTTTTTATTAAATCTAATGTAAATGTTTTCATAACTTTTTAAAAAAATAGAAAACAAAATGTTTGTTTTTGTAATCTCAATCGTCCATGCTCCCCCTCCTAAAAATGGAAATCCAAAAACAATAGCCTTAGGATGGTACATGAGAAACCCAGCAGTGAAATTTACTAAAAAGGGAAATGAAATTGCCCATCTAGTTTCATTGCCCATAAAGCTAAAGAAAATGCAAAAATGCCCTCAATCTAGCAAAACACATGCCTAACTCTGAGCACACAGAGCAGTTCCATTTTTATTTCAGTGGGACTGCTCCAGAGGTTTGTATTTAAGCATGTGCTTAGCTGCTTTGCTGGATTGGGACCTAAAATGAACAGCATTAAATGGTGAAAAATTATTCCAGATATGAGAAATTATTTTTATTATACTGTGATTTTTATTTTTACAGTGCCCCCCTCTAAAAAAAAAAAGGAAAAGAATAATTCATTGCTAGACTTGACTACCAAGCAGTGCACAGCATAATATATATTCTTCAATATTACCAAAGGAATTCTTTTTTCTGGCAAAAATATTTGAGTATGTATATAAATTGATAAATGGATTTGTAACTTAATATTAGCATAAGTGAGTAAACATTTTCTCAGGGGGCTTAATTTCTCTGTAGCTTCTCCTGAAGCTAAAATTGTTTTGAAAAATGTCATATAATTATTTTCTCATGACTTTTTCTATCACATTTGGATTAGATGTTTAAATAAAAATCATACTAAGAGGGGAAACATATTAGCTATGCAAATGTAACAGCAGGCTAAGGAACCCGTTGAAGAATGGTCTCATTAGTGGGAGAGATTCAGCATGCTCTTTGTTGGGGAGAATACTTGAATACCATATGCCATTCTGGTTGCCCCATCTCAAAAAAGATACACAACAACTGGAACAAGTACAGAAAAGGGCAACAGAAATGATCTGGTGTATGGAACAGCTTCTGTCTGAGGAGAGATGAAAAAGACTGAAACTGTTCAGCTTAGAAGAAAGATGATTTGGGCGATGATAGAGGGCTATAAAATCATGAATAGTGTGGAGTCAGTGAATAAGGAAGTGTTATTTATCCCTTCACATAACACACGAACTAGTAGTCACCCATTGAAATTAATAGACAGCAGCCTTAAAACAAAAGGTAGCTCTTCTTTCACACAATGCACAGTCAACCTGTAGAACTCGTTGCCAGGGGATGTTGTGAAAGCCAGAAGTATAACCGGCTTCAAAAAGATAAGTTCATGGAGGATAGGTCCATCAATAGCTATTAGCCAACATAGTCAGGGACACAACCCCATGCTCTGGGTGCCTCTAAACCTCTGACTGACAGAAGCAGGGACTGGATGACAGGGAATGGATCACTTGATAATTTTCCTGTTCTGTGTGATCCCTCTGCAGCATCTGGCCACTGTGGGAAGAGAGGATAATGGGCTAGATGGACCATTGGTCTGACCCATTATAGCCATTCTTATGGGATATGTCCTCAGGTTAACAATATTGTTGAATCAGAATTGCTGCCAGGTTTAATGTCTTTTGATGGTGGAACGTTTAGTTAGCGCAGTGGTCCCCAACCTTTTTTGTCGGCGGCATTTCGGTGGCGACGCCTCTGGATGACGCTGCTTGTCGGTGGCATTTCGGTGGATGCTTGTCTGCTGGCCAGTACGCGGGCGCACATAGATTCCCCGGCGGGCGCCATGGCACCCGCGGGCACCGCGTTGGGGACCACTGAGTTAGCGGAATTCTGCTGGTGTTCTCTCAGAAGCCATAAACAAGATTTTATCGGATTAGCACAGAGTGTGTGATTCCATTTAATTGCCTGAAACCATTATCAGGTGATGTGTGTAAGGTCTAGATTCTACCTTTTGGCACTGGCTTGAGCAAGGGGTAGTGTGTAAATGCACCATCCCAGCAATATCCCCCCCCGCTGCCCCCTTGCCAGACATAATTTGCTGCTGGACTGTGCCCCATCAGCAAATTAGTTTCCCCTGCACCAGCCCAGCTGTACTGGCTGTTGGGTTGGAAGGTGGTTGGAGCCAAGGCTCCAGCCACTCACTGCCCAGCAGGGTAGTAAGTGAACTTGTTTAACTCTGTGTCCCAGCTCCAAGGTCCAGCCTGCAGAAGGGTATAAAGGTGGGGGAAGGTTTCTTACTCCCACATACTTGAAGGTACAATTCATCCAAGGCACAATCTATCTCTAAGAATGAACATAAGCACTTCTGAGAGAAAATATCTATCTTCGCTCAAAATATTTTGAAAGACCCTTGGAATAAAATGTTAGGGTTAAATTCCCCTTTCTTTAATCTTGTTCTGTAAGGGCTCGTTCCATCTGCCCTTGAAGTCAGTGGAAAGACTCCCACACACTTCAGTGGGAATTGGCATGGTCCCCATGACATTAACTGCCTCTGTAAAATAACACTGCTTTATCCTTTGAGAGATAAATCAGGGAATGTTAACTCAGAAGGAGCAGGAAAGAGCACGAAAGACTTTTCTAGCTGTTTTCAGAGTGTGATTTTTAATAAGACCCTTTTGTCTGGCTATAGAGGAATCACTATTTTTCTTTTCTTTCATTCATTTGGAATCTGTAGCCCACAGGAGAAGTTTTTTTTGTGAGTTATAGCATATAGTTGGTGAGCATATTCCAGGGGGAGCAGCAAACTGGGATGTCTATATGTAATATATAGTAATGTAAAGCCCATTTTTAAGGACAGAATGATGCAGAGGGAGACTTTTCCGTGTTCCGAAAAGATATTGAGCATCTCTCCTTGAGAAGGGATTATTCTTTTCTTTCCTTTTATTAAAATGTGTCCTTAGGAGCACAGAGCCTAGTTTTAAATTTCATTTGTTATGCAGAGCACTGTACAGATGCTGCACTAGAATGATAATCATACCAGTTCATAAGAGAAGAGGTAGATCTCCAGCACTGCAAAAGTGAAATATGTGGTAATTTATAGGAAATTTTGTTCATAAAGAGTATATTTGGCTTCAGTGAGACTTAAATACATGCTTGACTTTAAGCATATGATTTGTGGCTTTCCTCAATAGGGGTGGAATTATTCATTAGGTTGAAGTTAAATGCAAATCAGGTCTTTTAAGAGCAAAGTAAAGCTTTGTGCATAAGTGTAGCCTGTTGAAGTCCATGGATAACGTTTTCAAAAGTGTCTAAATTGCATGGTAGTGAGGCTCTTAAGTTACTTACATGCTTTTGAAACTTTCACCCCGTGGCATTACTTGTGTGAGGGTTGCAAAGTCAGGCCCAAAATAGTTGCAGGGTTTTTTTAAAGAGAGGAATTTCCATTGTTTCTTTTTCCCCCCTCCTTATTCACACAGTGTATGGAGAGGCCACGCTTTACCTTCTGAAGGAGCTGTTCCTGTTGGAACTCTTGGAAAGATTCCCCTTCAGTTTGCTACAAGCAGGATCAGTTCTTACAGAGAACAAAAAGTTCTCACAACTGCTGCTTCTCTTAGAATGATGTATGGTAAATGCACACTGGATAGGAACAATAAAAGTGTACAGGATGAGATTTTGGCATCCTAGTTCTTGGCTCTTTCTGTGCTATTGGCTGCCCAAGGCAGCAATAAATTGTCCCTTCTGTACTCCTTAGTATCTTGCATCTCCCATATTTTCTGGGTTCCCTGCTGATGTTTAAAGTTCCAAAGGCTGAAGTGAATTAATGGCCAGTTTCTTAGAGGCTTGTCATTTTTCCCCTTAGCATCACTTTTGCAGCTTCTGAATCCTTTTCTGCAGAGACAGCGGTTTCAGTACACAGAGTAGCACTTAGATTCTTCAATAAATAAGTTAATTTTATATTACAGCAATGAGCTTAATGGATCCTTGACCTGCTTGCAGACTAGAAGATCTGAACCAAATTGTTTTTTCTCAGTTAGATTTGAGACTCTATAAATAAAGTATTTCCATGGGGAATCTCTAGCATGATGCTTGTCATCGTGTTCAGTTCAGGAAGTCTTGTTGCATCTGTAATAGGGCAGGTAGGGTAATCCTCTGCTGTATGTACAGCTCTCTTCTCATCTTTGTCTTGATGATGGTCTTATTTCTTTCTCATTTGCTCTCCATATGAAAAAATTCCATCTGTTTAGTCTAGACTTCTAACCAATAATCTCCTTTTCTGCAACAATCTCCTTTATTCTGGTGCATAAATCAGGGAACTGAGAAAATAGTGCAAAATACTGAAATCATTCTCAAAACCTCTTTTCAAGACATTATTTTATTCGTGTCATTTTCATATTGATTTCACATTGTTCTTTGATTTGACCAGATCATCTCTCTGCCACACGCTCCATCTATTTTTAAATGAGATCACAACAGTGATTCTCCTCTCTCCCCCCCCCTCCCCCCATGATAAATGGTTGACTGCAGCACCAACCAACCACAAGATGGTTGGGGGGAACAGATATCAAGCATGAGCAGCACATATAAGAGGCTTGGGGAGGTTAAACCTCACTAGAAAACACTGGCCATGCAGGAGGGAAAACCCCATGGA